TACAAAGTGAATGTAAATTCCAGCAACATTGCGCCTTCTGCTCAGGAAGTCACAGCGTTAAGGAATGCAGAGCCAGCAGACCAACCTGCATCAACTGTGCCGATTTTAATTTCAGAACACGTGGTAAAATCAATACCGCGCATGCAGCATACACACAGCCTCATGCCCGACATACGCACGATATATTGAACGGCAACAACGCAGCACAGCGTACTAACAGCCAACTAATAGCAACAAGTAATAATCAACCGATACCCACAGAATCAAATAACCCTACGACAGCACAGATAATCCGCTGCACACAAATAAACCTGCAAAGAGCAGAAGTTGCTACAGCACAGGCGATACAACATGCAACGGAGCATTCTGTAGACTTCCTGATGATCCAGGAGCCGTACTGCCAGGAAGGACGCATTGCAGGTTTCCCTATAGCATGGCAGGTCTTCCAGTCAAAAGCAAGGAATCAAGATCAAGCACCAAGAGCGGGTCTAATATGTTGTAACCCAGCCTGGAATCCGCTGCTAATTAAACAGGACAGAGACTTTGTTGCCGTTTTAATTGTGCTCAAAAATGCACAACTGATTCTTATATCTGCGTACTCCTCCCCAACAGACTCCATCGACAATTTCGTAGCAAACGCAACGTACGTCCGATCTAAATGCCATTCAACGCCACAAGTCTATGGGGGTGATCTTAATGCGCATCATGTAAACTGGGGATACCAAGATATCACTCCCAAGGGACAAGCGCTAGAGGACTACTTAACAGCAAACGACCTACATTTGGTCAATACCAGCGGCGCACCCCCTACCTTTGATAATACGTACTGCAAAGGTTGGCCAGATGTCACCCTGGCAACAGGAACGGCTCTATCGCAAGTACAGGACTGGAAAGTTAGCGACGAACTAAGCTGCTCGGATCACCGTTACATAACCTTCACAATCAACTGTGACACCAACATCTGTATTTTAAAGCGCTTTAAGTTACCAAAAGCCAAAATCCGTCCTCTGACAGCAGCCTTCTCTACTTTATTAACAGCAGAACAGGAGACACTAGAAGCCTACAACGGCAAAGACGAGATGGAAGAATTTACAGAACATCTTCTGGATAATATTAAGACCATCTGCTCAAATTTGCTTCCAACGCGAGCTGCCAAGAAACGGCACAGCATTTCATGGTGGAGTAAAGAACTCAGGCAACAGCGTCAGAAATGTCGTGCTCTAAGGCGCAGAATAAGAACAGCAACCGACGAGGACACAAAAATGCACTACCTTTCAATTTTCCGTAAGGAAAGGGCATCATACAAAAAGAACATCCTCGCAGCAAAGATAACAAGTTGGAGAACTTTTTGCACGCAGAATAACAATCCATACAGCGTCCTCCATAAATTGTCGACTAATAAAATCTACCAGCCATCACAGATCTTCGCCCACCCCTCTCTTACAACAGACATCGCAGGAGCCACAGCTGCCACCTACTTAGACGCACTGTTCCCGAATGACGATCCAACACAGGACACAACAGAGCAAAGGGAGATACGTGCAGACTCAACACCCTCCAGCAACTCCAGCCGACGAGCCCTTCAGTGACTCAGAAATCAGACAGATCTACCGCCATCTCCCTCTCAAAAAGGCACCGGGACCCGATGGCATCGATTATAACATCCTTAGAATAGCCTACAAGGCAAGACCATCCTTCTTTACTAAATTCTTCAATCAGCTCTTGCACCATCGAGTTTTCCCTCGCGTCTTTAAAGAGGGACAAGTCGTCCTCTTCTTAAAAAAGAATAAAGATGCAGAAAATCCGCGCTCCTTCAGGCCAATATGCCTTCTATCCTCCCTAGGGAAGATATATGAGAAGTTAATAGTCAATAGACTCAGATTTCACCTTCATCGCAGCCGCTATCTCAGTAATAGACAATTCGGCTTTAGAGTTGGACAATCCACCACTCATGCTCTGCACGCTATCTTGGAGGAAATACAAAGGAATAGATCAGGCAACCTGCACACCCTTCATCTCGCTGGACCTCCAGAGTGCCTTTGATACACTCTGGTGGCCAGCAATCAAGCAGGCACTCAGGAAAGCGCAATGCCCCATCAATCTCTACAGCGTCCTCTGCCACTACCTGCAGGACAGAAGTCTACTAATAACTCATAACAACGGAGTTACTACTAAACACCAAGAAAGGGGCTGTCCGCAAGGCTCGTGTGCGGGACCGATTCTTTGGACGATTACTTTCAACGCCATCCTGGAGGCCACATGGCCAAGACATACGTCCATCGTCGCCTACGCTGACGATGCCGCACTGTTAGTACAAGGAAGAACCCGCGACGAGCTTGAGAAGAATGGCACCGAGTCTTGTGCACTCTTTGCAGAACTCTGCGGCAAACTTAAACTTCAACTATCTGCTGAAAAGTCCTGTGCCCTGATCATACCGAAGCAAAGAGCCAACCTGAGACGCAAACCATGCATCAAGTTAATGCAGAGGAACATTAAAATCAATAACACCTTAAAGTACCTTGGCCTTCTGTGGGACAACAAATTAACATGGATCCCCACCTCCAAAGTATTAAACAGCGAACTTCCGAAATAGCAAGAAAAGCCCGCCTATTTCAGGGGCGAAACTGGGGTCAAAATCCCCACATACAGAAAATTCTTTATCTCACAGTCTCAGAGAAAATAGCCCTTTACGCTTCAGCAATATGGGCCAATCCGATGAGTGGTAGAAAAGTCAAACAGCTGGGAATTATACAACGACCTTACGCCTTACTCTTGTGTAAGGCCTACAGAACAACGGCCACTAGTGCAGCAGTGGTATTATCTGGTCTAATGCCACTGCACATACGCGCAGAAACTGAAGCTGCTTACGCTACTGTTATCCATTTAAAGAAGGAAGCTACCTTCTGCGGAAACACTTATAGTCCAGTTCAGTATGAGCATCCAAAGAATACCCTGGAGACGCACCCTGCGCACAAGGGAAGAAATATAAGGATTCACGTCAGCAGAAGTGGCGAGCAAATTACAATACAGGATCCACGGTACCCAATGCAGTACTATACAGATGGATCCAAGCTCGACGAGGGTACAGGTAGTGCCTTCGTCCTGTACCACGGAGGATGCAAGGAAATCGAGTGGAAGGGGCATCTTCAACCAATAAACAGTACATTCCAGGCTGAAGTCATAGCCATTACCACTGCGATTCAGCATGCAATTGACAGCGGGATCACCGATGCAATGCTGTTTACAGATAGCATGTCAACGCTATTCGCCCTAGTCAACCATAACCACACCTCCCCATTGGTAGCGGACCTCCAGAATATTCTACAATCACATCCTCAACTAATTGTAAATTTAATATGGACTAAGGCACACGTTAACAACGAGGGTAACGAGACAGCTGACCAACTGGCAAAGGAGGCAGCAAGCAACATAGCTGCACAGATGGTAACTATTCCAGCGCCACCCTCGTATCTCAAGAGAACTCTTAAGGAAAAAGGTCTGCAGAAGTGGCAAGCTGAATGGGAGACCTGTGATACGGGTCGCAGAACCAATTTATTTCTGCCTAGAGTGAAAATGGAGCGCCAATACTCCATACCTCCCATCACTAATTACATCTCGGGGCACGGGCCCTTTCCCACCTATTTTGAGCGATTTGGTATCTCTCATACAGGCTTGTGCGTCTGTGGGTCGCTCGGAACTCCAGACCATTACATCTTTGAATGCCCGCTCACGGAGGATAATCACCTCCACTTGCCAGCAGACAACCAAATAGCCTTCAAACGATTCATCGTTAATAACAAAGGCACAGTGAATACCATCTGCAGAATAATCAGCCAGATAACCGCCCTGGGGCAAGACCTATGCCAACCCCACTAATTCAGGGTCTTAAGTGAATGTAAGTACTCCTCTGCATCTAAGGAAATACAGTATCTTCCTTCTGCTAAGCGCATGTACCTTCTTTATTAATAGTATTTATGTGTCATGTCATGTATGTGTTATGTTAATTTTTTTTTCTTAAATGTGTAACCAATATGTTATGTAACGTATACCTTGCAAACCTAAATCTGTAATACAATATAAATAGCCAATGTATCTCTCATCTGCCCCTGTATGGCAATGTAATAAATCTTTTAAGATCTCAATAAACCTCCGGTAGGTAGGGGAGGGCGCGGGACATATGCCTGTTTACCTCTGTTAAACACCAGGCGTCCCCGTCCTCCGTCACCTGTCACTTGAGATGTCCTTCCAATCCGCAGTTCCAGCATTTGACGATTTTCTTCCCAGTATTAATTTTATTAAGTCTTCTTAATGCCTCCCGAATCTCTCTTATTTCTTTAGTTTCGAGATATCAAAATTTGGATCTTCTATTTCAGCCGCTCTAATAGGATGGCGATCTCTTCGAGTCACTTGTTGAGCCGACTCGAAATTCATAGCGGCAGATTGAACTTCGGTCTTTCAGATGAGGCACACTCACTGACTGCGGACCAGCAGGGTTTATATAGCTTTCGGCTTGTGTTCGAGAACACTCTGGGCTAAACTGGTGAGAATTTGTTCCAGATGGTTCTCCCTTCCACGGTAAGTCGCCAAATGTGGCAACTCTGCCTTCCTTTGCCATTTTATGGCAACACTAAACCTTCTTTGCGGGAAAGCTATCTCACCGCGCCTGTACATTTCGTAACAATATTCATCCAAATAGTCATTGAATGTCTGACCATCCAGATAAAAAAAAAATAGGTTTAGAAATTACTGTAGTAAATAAGGATTTTTTTCCCTAGCCCTTTTATTTCTTTTATAAGTTGACTTGACTATTTCTTTCTCAAACTCTAATTTAGAATCACTTCTAAAATTCGTAACCTCAACATCTGATACTTCTGAAGAGAAGTACGTATAATAATAATCATTAATGAGCTCTTTCATTTTCTTGTCATGTTTTTCATGTTCAAAACCACTTTCATCAAGATTCAATTCATTTCGTCCAGATACTTCTTTCAGTTTTAAAATTTTTTCTTCAAGTTCCTTTTTTAATCTCTTTTTTGCTCTTTCTCCTTTTTTTTTTTTCGCTTTTAATGTATTCTTTACACTTCTTTCTTTTAGTATCAGTGTGATTGAGAGAATCTCTAGGCATCCTTGGATATCATTTAATGAATTCTGAATTCAGCTTTTCAAACTGAAAATTATTCTAATGCAGTGGCGTAACTAGAACTCTTGGGCCCCTATGCAAAAAAATTTTCCTGGACCCCTTTCCCAGTAAATTTAATGTGCTTAAAAAAAATCAAGGATTCCAGGAGGCAATGTTTTCATGATGATTTTTATCACATTTGGATTAATTGTTAAAAAATAAAAGCACGTTCTTCGGGAACCAGTTGAAAGGTACGTAACAAGAAGAAAGAATAAAAAGGAAAATAATTTCCCTTGACCAACTGGTGAAATGAAAATTTGCTTTAGTCTGGGTACTTGAGGCCAGATGATTTTAATTCAGTTACTTAAAACTTTTTGTGTGAGTGCGAGAGACAGATTTTTCTCTCCTTTCACTGAGATGTATAGTGATAATAAAAAAGTCTATATAAAAAAAGGAACGTGCCGACGTATAGCATTAAGAAAAGGAAGAAAGACTAGATTTGCGGAGATTTTTATATAAAATCCAAGAAGTTTTACATACTAATGATTAAAATTTTTATATAAAATCTGCGCCTATCTAAGTTTTTTTCGCTTAAGTTAGCAAACTTATAAATAATTAGTTATATTATAAATTGACAGGCAGATAATTGATAAACGTACAGAAAAGGTATTACATTAATGTATAGTACTCTGTGATTTACTCAGCTTACAAACATGATTTATGCAATAATATACAAGTAATAAATAAGAACTCTATAATGTAAATGATACATTTGTTAAATATAAAAACATATTATCATAAACTTCATAAAGAAACTATTTGAATTTGAACATACAATTTTTGTAGAAATATGTATGGTAAAGTTTTTTTCCGTCTTTTTAAAAAACCTTTTGGTACACAAAACTACTTGAATACGTGATTTTTATAAAAAATATGAATGCTAAAGTTTTTTACTGTTTCCTTTTAATTTTCCTCAGTCCGTACTGCTCTTCTTCTCTAATTTTTTCCTCCCTCAATAAGTGTAATGATAACATTTGTGGCCAAAATTCATCATAAAGAAAAAATCCTTCTTTTAAAATTTGCGTCTCCTAACCTTCATTTCCTCAAAATTATTTATCAATACTTGGACGTCCATTTTCTCAGCCATCTCAGCTTCAACGCTCAATAGTGAAAGGTTTGACAACCGATCTTGTGTCATACTGTTACTTAAATATGTTAATTGAAAATGACCTCTCACTTGTGGCTGTGGTTACAGGTAATGATAAATACAATATAAGTGAATTGCACACTCCCGAAAAACTGCTTTTCATGTCATAATATTTTACCACTGCTAATTTAGCTAGAAAGGGACGTGAAATCACCCTTCAATGCAGCTGTTTAACGAAGAAAGGGACCCCGCCTCCACTATAAATTTACAGTGTCTTCCCAAGTTGAGTCACAGTAAAACTTTCATCCAAGACTTTACTGTAA